TCGAGCATTCAGAGATACATCGTGTATTCTCTCGTGTATAAGGGTTTCTCAAGTCGTTTGCGTCATTGACCTCTACTACCACACTTTCTTTTGTTCACTTACTATTCTCATGAGGGAATACAAATTTGAATAAGAATTCGCGAAGCATCTTGATAGTGGGAGTCAAATAACGCCATCATGCAAACACCCCTACTCGTCCTATTATATTATATTTTATTTTGCCTTTTTGTACCCCATTAAACGAGGGATCTGAGGATATTGTAATTATAAATTACACAGTGACCATCAATGGATTGTACTTAAAGTGCCTTCAAACCTTTAAATGGTGTCAATTGATGGGTTGCAAGCATTCCCAAGAGAGTTAAAAGACAAAAACATGGCGGCCGCGATGACGTAACGTACAAACGAAGAATATCTTGAAACAGCTTGGGCTGACCTAAGTCCTCTTCTCTCGTCCCTAGTTCTTCTCTGCCATATAATTTAACACAGGGATCCAAGCAGAGAATATATGGGGTAGCCTGCGGCCGAGGAGGCTAGGATCGGAGATACCGAGACACCAGAGACGAGAGGCGAGAGGCATTGAGTGCGACACTTTACCGGGCTACGACCCTTGAGGCCCTATGCACTGAAAGCAGGGATGTTGAGTGCTCCACTACAAAAAACATCTATACGCGCTCCATCGATTAACCATCTACGCCATTCATCGATAACGTGAATTCTTTTATTTATTGAAATAAAATCTAACAATTCATCATTTATGATGCTTGACAAATATATTTCACAATATTATCTTGCTTTTGAAGCAAAATTAACGAGGTTAAAAAATCTAATAAGATTCATTTGTAGGACTTTACATACCTGGCAACGAAATTTATATTTTATTTATATTGTATCGATATTTGTAGTCTTTATCGTGGAGATTTTTTTAATGTCAAATTATTCCGGCTATCGGTCTTTTAAACAGCCAATCACACGGGCTGCGTTGCAGATGCTTTCAACAGCCCCTTGTACTACGGCSGCTTGATTGCCTTGCTTGGTGTCTGTCATTCGTACCTGTAATTAAGAAACGCCAGACTGACGATATTAGTAATGTTTTCTCTATGTAAAAACATAAGACAAAACAGAAGGGCCGCGCCTTTTAAGACGGGATTGTGCGTAAGGTTCAAAGAGTCAGTTTGATTCGTTTTCCTTTTTTTTTCCACTTTTGTCATTCATCGATCAAAAAACAAAATTAGTCAAAAATTCTTATCCTTGACAAACTTTACATCATATAACGAGAAAAGGGGAAGCCGAAGAAAAAAAGAGCAAAATACTACATGAATTCAAGAGTGCATTTTCTCGAGAATAAAATTGAATAGTATTCAGTCAGTTAAGGAATCATTTTTGATAAACTCAACATCAATAAAAACGTGAGAGAAAAGACTGTCTTTCCTTACAAAATTTAATCAAAACGCCGGTGTCATACATAACGTGATTTTTTAAAATCTAGGGTAAGACATAAAATCTTTGGGGAAGTTATTTTCGAGGAACCCAAAATTAATATCGTAAAAAAAAGTTGTGAGAAAACTTAGCAAAYCATAGCAGCTAGAAAGAAGTATATTTTTTGTTAATCGGGGTAAGACAATAATTTGAGAAGGTTGTTAATTTAAGAATTGTCGTTTTTCAGGCTGTGTTTGAGGCACATGAAGTGTTTCACTGATTWTTCTCACCTTGGAAAAAAGGTCTTTCAGKTCCATCGGTTTTCTGTTAATAAATCTTTTGCCGCCAAATTGTCCAAGATATCCTTCTACACGAGGCTGCATAACCAAAAGCGCAGAAACTAAGACCAAAGCCCAGGTTAAAACTGGAAGCCGKTGYTTTGCAGTCATCTTACTGAACGATAGTTTAGGGACTGCACTTCGCTTCTTGATCTTCAAACTCAACTGAATTTAACGCTTACTTGATGGYCSATCTTAAGTAGTTCTCTTCAAAACAGGGAAACAAGTGTGCATTGRAGTTATCAATTGTTACGGAAACCGCTTTACAAATCCTTGAAGTTTATATAAAAAGTTTGGCGTTTCTT